TTTTGTCAACAGCACAAACGCCAGATCCCAGTGATAGAGTAGGCGTGGCAGCATACTTCGAACTTGACGGCGGCTGCGCTTTTGGTGGGATCCTGCCGAAGACAGGATCGGTTGTTTCAAACGGAAACGTACTCTACGTCGTGTTCAAATTAAGTGCGCGGCCACGCCCACTATCACTTCCGGGATTTGGGTTGTAAGTGAGTACTATTTGGAGCGTCCTACTGCTACATGAGAAGGTACATGCGGAAGTGGGACGCTTCAGTGGCCAATTTATGGGATGTTCAGGTATTTGCGGAGGTGTTTTTGGAGTCAACTTAAAGGCAGCGTCCGCGATCATGAAAACGAACGCGGAGTACGCAACCACAGCGGAATCCCACTCTTGCGGCTCGAAATCGATTGGTTGACGAGGGCGGAGTCAACAAGGCTGAGCTGACGCCTCCTTCCCTGTTAATCCCGCCCCGACTGGTTAACAGTTATCAGTGCTTGCTGGCATTGATATACGCTGAATTTCTAGAGTTCCGAGGCGGCGACGTGTATTGGAGAACTCACCAGAAGTTTGCGAAACTCGTCCACATGCCTTAAATTTCATAGGGTCTTATTTCACGCTCTTCCACACCTTTTTCCTGCTTTTTTTGATTAGTGCTTCATTGGCCACCTGTTCTAGCAAATGTGACCCCTGAAACCTGCCAAAGTCCATCGCGGGCGCTGTCTTTAAGAAAGGTCTCGTTGAAACCCATACGCTTACTAAGTGCATCCTTGCATATCGCTGAATCTCACTGCCTGCCTTGGGCGGGTTAGTTCAGGTAATGACCCTCTGGCCTAAATTATAATTTAGGAACGAACGCTAGGACATTACGAAAAGAGTACATGGAGAGGAAAGAGAAAATATCTGACGAAATGGCGCAGTAGGACCCTCCTCAAATCACTTTCTTCGTTTATCTCTTAACGAGACTATTATTATTTCAGATTCAATGAGCTTTATCAGCAGGGAGTATCAAGTGCCCAAATAGAGTCCTACTGCAGAAAGATGTCCCAGTTTGTTACAAACAAAACTATATGATACATATTTATTCGATTTGCACACTTGTTTTTGTTTGAATAGTTGTAATAATAAAATAATAATAATAATAATAATAAACTAATAAATAGCTGGAATATATAGCAACCTTTTTACCCACTTCACCGAAAATTTTCAATGGATTCGTGCCTGGATAGCTCAATACTTCTCCTCTTACCGGGGCCAGCCGAAGTTAGCGCGACGTGCCTCGGCTTAATGAGGTCGCTTCGCACCTCGTTAATTACGCCTCGAATCATAGGTGCGAGACAAGTCATTAACGAGGTCGAGCGTGTGGTGGTTCAGTGGTTATAAGTATGCCTCAGAGGATAAGCAGCGAGAACGACAGTAATAGTAATTATAATATGTTTATTATATAATGGGAACCTACGTCTCGATTG